GTTTGTCATGGCAGCAGGCTGGCAGGGCAGTACTGGTCCCGGTGCCAGTGCTCCCCAGGCACAGCCGCTTCCTCCTCATGCGTGCACGGCCGCTGCCCCGGTGAGCTCGGCTCCTCTTGCCCCGCACAGAGACAGGGAGAACCAGCAAAAGGGCTGCTCTTCTCAAAGAAAAATTGCTTTTTGAAAGGAATTAAAATCTCCACACCTTTGAAATAAATCTTTCCATTTAAAAACGGCTTTGGAAAATTGTTCCTCCAGCCCCTCACTAGAAATTAAAAGGAATCAGTTTCACTACTATTTTCACATAGCTTTGTCCAGAAACAGAGAAGATGTCATAGCCTTACATCCCTTCTATTCTGCACAGGCAAACCCCTGGAGATTAGTGAAATTACAGAGAAACCCGGGGTTTAGATCAGCCCGAGCAATGCCAACAGCTCCGGAGGCTGCAGGAGAGCTCCCCCAGCTTTGCACCCACTTGAAGGGAGCAGTTCCCATTTAATTTTGCTAAAAACGGCTCAGTGCAGCCTGGGGGTGAAGAACTGTCTCCAGAGCCAAGTTTGGAAGCAGAAAGCTGGTGGCTCTGGTAGGAATCACGCAGACAGCAGGTCTGCCAAATAAAGCAGGGAAGGCTCAGCGGAGGCCATTCCCGCGGAGCGCCTGGCCCCGTGCGGGCAGGGAGGGATGCTCTGGGTGAGATGGGGAGGCAGGGAAAGCTCGGGCATCCCAGGCAGGAACCCCTGAGGGATGACGGAAGGGCAAAGGGCAGTGTCAGTGACATCCAAACTGGCCGTTTACCGGCATTTCCCTCCCCAGGCTCATAGTGTGACTCAGTCTGTAACTGTCTGTGTGCCGGGCACACGCACAGGTCTGGTGCCAGGCAGCCTTGTGACGGGGAACACTGGACTCGCAGGCAGGGAGGAAACTTCACACTGAACTGGCAGGCGGGATGAATAGGAGGAAACGCAGCCCTCTTTCTTGGAAAACAGCTATTAGCATTGCATTGTTTTAGGGAGCATTCTTGCAGCGTGTTTTTATGTCAGACCATTCTTTTTGTGCAGCGCTTGGCATAACGGAAACAACAAATACAAAACAGGATCAGCCCTACACAGAAGTCATTTTGGAAACTGCCATTTCCTTCTTTCCAAGGAAAGCATCCTGGTGACTCAGCACCACAGGGCGGATTGGCAGCCCTACAGAGGAGGGAAACATTCCCCAGAGAATCCGGTGATTTTCAACCTTAATAACACAAAGGATATTGCACTCATAATGTTTGAGACCCCCCTGCGTGACCAGCAGCAGGGCAGAGATGCCGTGAGGGGGAAGGCATCTGGAGCAAAGAGAGGGCTGCTGCAGAGGGACGGGGGGGTGCTGGGCTCTGGGCTGGCACAGCTGCTCCCAGTCGGCCCCTGCCCACCGCAGCCCCCCCCGTGCTGGGGCAGCCCCGGGGGTCCGGGCTGGCAGAGCCCACACGCAGCCAGAAGGCAGCAGAGGGCCGCAGGGAAAAAGATGGGGCGACAGCGGCAGAAGGAGGCGAAGCTGAATCACCTGTGCGTGTGCCGGGGCTGCACACGCAGCCGAACCGCGGGGTTCCCTGTGTCCCCCCCCGGGATAAACCCCAGAGCGGCTCATGGCGAGCGGCTGAGAGCGCCAGGGAATTCCAACATCGTTTGCGCTTGGCTGTTCCCGAGGCAGCTGGACCGTCCGTCCTCGCCACC